TAAAGAGTTTTTTCTCTCCTTTTTTTTATTATTTTTGTTTCCTTTTTTTTTTTATTATTATTATTTCTTGGCATGTTTTCTTTTTGCTTAACGGCGGCAGATTTGAAAAGAATTTTTGCTCGCAAATGAAATTGTTTCCTGTTAAAAGCTGAAAACAAAAAAAGAAAAGAGAAACAACTACTAAAAAATATGCGAGACTCCATGGCCAGACACGAGACACGTTACCTGGGACGGCACCTGCCGTCGCAACGATTGATGAAATTAAAAGGTATAAATAAAAATCTTTTTAATGGTCTGCGGGGATTTGGAACTTAATTTTTTAATTAAACAAGCAGCACACGGGGACAACGTTGATAACTGAATGTTGAAAAAGAAGAGCAGGGCAGAGGGCTGCCTGAGATACGAGCCCAGCAGCCCAGAGGCAAATAGTGACTGCTGGGACATTTATGCAAAGCAGCCACCGAGTTGCCTTTGCGACCACTTCGAGGTGGACTGCAGCCACTTGTGTGGTCCCCAGCCAACGTCTGCACTTCACTCGCTTCATCCATGCTCGACTGGCAAGTGGCAGCAGCCAGCAGACAGAGCCTGAGCCAGTGTCTGTGCCTGTGCCTGTGCCTGGGCCTGTGTGTCTGTGCTCTTGTGGCCGGGCTGAGACAAGCGCATATTTGGCATAACACTTTTACTGGCTATACCACAATCCTGGTAGTTACACCCCGCCCACAATTACATGTTAATCCCCGACTCCTGCAACAATGTCAAATGTCAGCACATGTCATTTGTCATGGAGCCAGCGCTGGTGGTGGTCATCCAGACAACAGCTTCAACTCCAGCTACAACTTCTTCGCATTGTCGCCTGGTCCACAATTTGTCACTGGCCTTGGGCGACCACCTGGCAATCTCTATAGAGCCATAGAGTCGTCTGTTAAACATGCTCAGGCGGCTATTAAGAGGATCCATTCGGTATGTGTGGGACATTGGCATGTAATACTCTATGTTGGCAACGGAAATGATAATGATAATTGGCATTCCGATATTGTTTTTAGTTATAGGCAGAGCAAATTGTGGTAGCTGCATAGAAGAATTAGCTATTAAGGAAAATAAGTTATTATGGCTATCTATTCTCAAAGCAAATGCCCTTCACATTATCATTGCAAATGTCTTAGCCTACAGAGACCAAATTGAACTGTTTGCGAGGTTTGAGAAGAATTAACCTGTTGCAGGAGTCTATATTTACACTTTAATCTATATTAAAGGCTTTAATCTATATGCGACTATAGGTTTATTAAGAATACTTCTCTTCAGGCTGTAGCAAGTTACTCTTTACCTATATAAATGCATTATATATGTTTACGTTTTGACAATTTGTGTGTATGTCGGGTCGATTTCTTGAGAGCTTAGCCGCCCTCCTATGTCTGCTAAGCAGTTGGGTGTCCAATAGGCACGACATTTCCCCACCAGGCATCAGAGAATTGGGCAAAAGGCACGAAGCTGTAACCCTATGGGTGAACTGAATTGTTGATAAACATGGCGTTGCACCAACGAGGCTTAGAGGAAGACTTTTATCTAATCTGTATAAGACATTAATTGTATTGAGAACATTGCATTATGGACTTCGCATACAACAATTTTATTCCACAGATAATTGTTCTTTGTCTAACCATAGAAATTAGAATCGTGAGCCAGTATCCAAATATTAACAACTTTTCCGTACCGAAAAGCTCTGTAAAGAATTTCTATCCCATGCCGAAAAACTCTGTGGGGCATTTCTATTCCATGCCGTTCCACTCCATATTTAAGCGATGGTTTAGAAAATTTACCAATTTTTCAAGTTGAAGCAAATAAAACAAATTGCATAAATTTGTTTCTTTTAATTTATATATAGTTTTTATTTATACGATTTCTCTGCACACGTTTGAAAACTAAGAGAGATGTTAGAAATTGATAAAATAACTGAAATCAAAATAAAAACAAATCCAATAAAAAGAAAAAATGTGTTTAATATCGATTTTTGACGCTTTTATTTATTTATTATTCGCGTTACTCGTTTAAATACAAAGAAATGCAATTAAATAGGCGTTTTTTGTTTCGTTTATGAGAATAAGATTATAGAGATAGAGTAAGTAGGTAGTTTTAGGGAGAGAGTAGAGATGTGTGTGTGTGTGTGTGTGTGAGTGTGTAGTTGTGTGTGTGTGTGTATATGTGTGTCTATGTGTTATACATGTGTGTGTGTGTGTGAGTGTTTTATACATAAATAATTACAAGTATGCTGCGGCTTAGAAGTAAACAAATTACAATTTACAATGCAAAATGCAAAATGGCGGCAAACGGGGCAACTAAATTACACGCATTAAAATTAAATGTTAAAATTAATTCATTAATTAGTAATAGTGTGAAAATAATAAAAAAAAATAATAGTATTGGCGCAAATGAATTTACAAATGACAAATGAGCAGCGCTTGCCTGGCCGTAAGCTTCGACTGGGCTGGCCGAGGGTTTTGCCTTTCTTTCTTTTTGTTTTTTTGTTTTTAAATAAATATAGCCGTAAGAGTAGTACGAATGATATATATAATAAAGATTTGATTTTTCGTTTTTTTCGTGTTTTGTTTTTCGTTTTTTCGTTTTTTTTTTTTTTAGTATTTTTTCTTTTAATATTCGTTTTTGTTTAACATAAAATGTTATATTACAGCAACGCGCATATAAGTACAGTAGTTCAATTTGAATTTTTTTTTGTGTATTTAATTGAGTTTTTATCTGCTTTGATTTTTAATTTTTTATTTGCATTTTTTCTCCTTACTGTGTGTGGCTTGTAAGTAGTTCAATTTGTTTATGGCTGCTGTCAGTGTCTATTTAAGTAATCATAAATGTTTCAATTGTTAAAGGTTTTACTTTGTTTTGTGTTAATCTTCTTCTTAAGTACACACTAATTAAATTTTTCACCTAAGCATTTTGTTGCATTACCTTTTGCTTTTGTTATTAATTTGCTTTAATTTACATTCATACATATTGCTACATATAAACTTGACGCGTTTTTTTGTTTTTGTTTTTTTTTTTTTTTCAGTAATTTTTTTCAATTGGCTTTTTGTTTGTTAATTGAATTTGTATTTTTGTTGTTTGTTTTTCAAATTTTGTTTATGTATTTGGTTTGCTAATTTGTTTGAACTATTTACGTTTTGTATTTCATTATGTTAATAATATTTTAATATAAATATACGAGAAACAATTATTGTTTATATTTATATATATATAAATATATATATATATGTAGAAAAGCAGCAGTTGGTTTCGATTTCTTGTTTGATTTTACATTTATTTAGTTACATATTTAATTAATAAATATAACGTTTATTCAGTGTGAATTTTGGTGTTTGTCGCCGCATATATACCATACGATTTATATGCTTATTGTTTTGTAGCATTTAATTTTTTTCTGTTTTTTTAGTATTTCAAATTTTTAATTTTTTTTGTTTTGCATTTCTTTATAAACTAGTTCTTGACTTTTACTAAGTTGCCTTTAGCTCAAAGTTTTCAAAATTAATTTATTATTTATTTTTTTTCAATTTCTTGCTATGCTTCAAAATATTTTTTAGTATTTAGTATTATGCCTTGCTCTAAATCAGCTGAACGTTGTGCAACACTGTTAATTGTTTTCAGCAGTGTTGAGCAATGCAACAATTATATGCGTTTAGCTATTTGTTTTTAAAATTCGGTTTATTTCTATTTATTTTTCATTTTTGTATTGCTCCAATTTGATTTACTTGTGCCTATTAAAATTTAAACTTTAGTTTCTTAATTTGTTTTTTCTTTTTCTATCATTTTGTTTTTGCTTTTGGAAGTGTCTTGCTGTGCGAATTTGTTGTCAATTTGATTTTACTTTGCTTGCGTATGAATTTAAAAAACATTTTCATTAAATTTGTTTACTAATTTGCAATTTTGTTTGCGCTTCATTATAAAATTTTGAAAATATATATGCGTATATATATAGTTAATTGTTTTTTGTTTTCGTTATTATTTTTTTTTTTTTTTAGATTTTTAATATATATTTTGTAATCTCATTGCTAATAAATTTAATTGATTTAGTAAACCAAAGTTGCTATTTTGCCTTACATTCAGTGCGTCTAAACATTTATTTATTAAGATTTTAGTTTTTCTTTTCGCTGACACCATTTGATTTTAATTTTTTTTTTTAATATTTTTGCAACTTGCTTTTAACAATTTTAGTTTTTATTTGCTTTTGCTTTTGTTAGTTATATAGCACATACTCGTAAATAAAAATCTTATTGTCTTTCATTTATAACTATGTAGCAGTTCTGCAAGTTCTTTGATGGAACTGTTTTGCTTGACTTTTGTTTTAAGAGCTGTGTGTGTTCGAGTTATGACAGGCCAGTCGAGTGCAGCCTTAAGATATATTTATATATAGAAAGAGATAGTTTAGTAATAAGCAGAGCCCTAATTACCAGTACAATTGCTTTATTCATTTAAGAAACAAAACAAAACACTTTTAAACAATTACGTGAAGTAAATGTCATTTCAATATTCAATTATAACTATTTGTTTATTTTCATATGATTGCCATAACAAAATAATATCTAGCATTTCGGGCAACGGCAAATACAATTAATTATAATTATATATTTAAACAAGCAATACTCTAGTAATTGTTATCGTATTTACGGGTAATTGGGCAAACTTTAGCAAAGGCCTCGGCATTAAATTTAGATTGAAATTGTGGCCTGAGTATATTCTTTTTTGCTTGTGTGCTTTTAGGCGTGCGTGTGTGTATTTGTGTGTGTGTGTGTGTCTGTCGATATGGCCAAGTGTTGCACAGTTCTGACTGAGTTGAGGCAACAATAAGTGCGCCCTAGGTTGCGGCCTAAGCAACTCGACATATATATAAGTAACTTTATATATATATATATATATGTACTATATATGCAGTGTATGTATATGTATCAGTTCAATATATAGTATATCTATGTATATATATATATATATATATATATTTATATATATTTGTTTAATGCATAAATTTTGCTTGAATTTACCTTCACTTGTTTACAATCATTTGCTTTTGCACGTATAAATTCTTTGCCATTTAAATTAAAACTCATCGAAAAACTGTACTGAGTATAGGTATATATATAAATATGTTTGTATATATAACTCGACTAAATTGTCAAAGCCAACTTGTTGCGCCCGCAAACCGTGCTGCCATTTACCGATTGTCCAAAACCCCCGACCCTGACCCTAAATCTGAACCTGATCCTGACCCCGCTGACCAGCTGCTGCTTCGTTTACTACGCGAAATTGCGCAGTCGCCGCTGACCTCGCTGCTGCAGTCGACGGCGCTCATTGTTGATCTTGATCTTGGCTATGCGTATGGATTCGGGCAACACGGACGTGGGCGATGTGGCCAGAAAGCCACTGACAAAGGTCAGACGACTGTTGCTGCTGCTCGGATTATTGCTGCTGGTGTTGTTAGTACTGTTGCTGCTGTTGTCGTTGTCATTTAAGATATCCTCGAAGACATCGGGATATACGCTAATATTGTCCAGATTATCAATGTCTATGTCGCCCGCCTCATTGCGCACATAGGTCAGCTGATGATAGGGCGTGGCTAGTAGTTTTTGTGTAGATTTGCGCAGCCATTTCTTTGTGGTTGTTGTTGCAGCTGTCGTAGCAGCTGTTGTTGTTGTTGCTGTTGTCGCTGTTGGTGCCGTCTCGGTTAGCATGTTGTTCAGATTGCTGTTGATGTTCTTGTAAACACTGAACAGCTTGTCTGCAATATGTTGCTGCGGTGTGGTAACAACAGCAACAGCTGCTGCTGCTGCTGCCGCTGCTGTTACCGTGCTCGTTGCTGCTGCACTACTGGCTGCTGTTGCTGGCGGCGTTAGCAATCGCGTGCTGGTTGTTGGATCAACTGTTGCCGGGCGCAACAGTTTTTGTAGCTGTTGTTGCTGCTGTTGCTGCTGCTTGCTGTTGTTGTCCCGCAGCAACTGTTGCTGCTGCTCGTTAGGGCTGCCGTTGCTGCTGTTGCGATGCCTGCTGAGCTTATGCGTGCTCTGCGCCAAATCAGTCGCTGTTGCCGCTGCTGTTGCTCCAGTTGCGGCTGCTGCTGCTGTTGCTGTCGTGTTGCCTGCAGCTGCCTCTGCCCCATGCTGTTGCGTTGTGTGCCATTTGTTGTACATTAGCGTGGCCAGTGTTGCTGCCAGCGGCGTCTGTTCCAGCACCAATTGTGTGCCGGCTGCTGCCGCTGCTGCTGTTGCTGTGGTTGTAGTTGTTCTTGTTGCTGCTGTTGTCGAGGTAGTTTTAGCCACTTGGCTGCTAGTTGCTGTTGCAGCTGCTGCTGTTGCTGTTACTTTGGTTTCATAGTTATCCGTGGTCTGCAGCTCATTTTCCTCATCTTCAACCAGCTCCGCCTCGTACTGTAACAATTCGGTGTCATTGCCGCTGCTTGTTGTTGTTGTTGCCGCTGCTGCTTCTGATGTTGTTGTTGCTGCTGATGCTTCGGTTTCCAGCTCGGTGATAAATGTGGACCAGGCATCATAGTTGCTGCTGCTGCTGCTGCTGCTGTACGGTTTAATACTGTCTTCTGCTGTTGTTGTTAGCAACATGTTGCTGACGCTCGTGCTGCTGCTGCTCGCATCTGGCGTAAAGCTATCAATTGTAGCTGTGGGCGTGGCAAACCAAGTGGACCAGGGCTCGCTGCTGCTGCTACTGCTGCTGCTGCTGTAGGCATCGTCGTAGCCAGTGGAAAAGCTGCTGCTGCTGCCGGCGAATGTGTCGTCCGTGCTGTCATCGAGTGTTGCTGCTGTGGAGAGCAGTTGCAATTGTTGCAGCTCTTGTTGTTTCTGTTGCTGCTGCTGTTGTTGATGCTGCTTTTGCTTGCGCGCCTTTCTTCGTCTACCCTTGCGCTTGCTGGCAAGTGTTGTTGTCGACGTTTTGGTTGTTGCTGCTGTTGTTGCTGTTGCTGCTGTTGCTGCTGTTGTTGTTGCACTTTTGGCAGTTGTTTGTTTCGTTGGACTAGCTGTGACTCGTTGTTGCTGTTGCTGCTGTTTGCGTCGCTGCTGTCGCCGCGCCAGCATTGAGGGATCATTGTGATGATGTCGCACCTGATGTTGCTGCCGTTGCTGTTGCTGTTGCTGTTGTTGTTTTCGTACTAATGCTAATTGTTGTTGTTTTTGTTTGTTAGTGCTACTTAGACTACTACTACTATTATGGCCATGATGCGCATGTTGCTGTTGCAACTTTTGATTTTGGTTATTCGATTTGTGGCGATTGTTTTTGTTGCGCGAGACTTTGCGATAGTTGCTGCTGTGATTGCTGCTGCCGCTGTGATTGCTGCTGCTGTTGGCCATCATTGCGGCCGTCTCGCGCCATTTTGGTAACGTGTGCTGATGGAAAAACTGCTCGGCATCGATCTTATTGAACATGTAGCAGGCATCGTTGACGCTCTTCTTGGGCCCCACAGGCTTACCTCGGTGCGTGAACCCGACACGTCGCTTCAGATCGACTACGGAACGGAACACGAAATAACCGTGCACGATGGTCTCGTTGAAGTAGCAGGTAGCGCGCAGTTCCTTCTGCAGAGAGAAAAAAGAGAGAGCGGGTATTAGATAGGGGTAACATCATCAGTTAGCTTCCCTACACTTGACACTGCAATTTATGAGCGGCATTTCCTGGCTGCTATTTTAACTTGTCGACAATATTTTGACAAGCAGCTTGCAAGTGAGAGGTTAAGCAGCGGCAACATTGACAGCAGCAACAATAGCCACAACAACAACAACAACAACTATGAAGCTGGAGTGTGTTTATTTATAAAACACTTGAAATACCAAAATGACAGCCCAAATGAAACGCGGCTTGATTGTTGCTGCTGTCGTGGCTGCTGCTGCTGCTGCTGTTGTTGTTGTTGTTGCTGTTGTCGCTGGCAACACCTATGTATCAGCCTGCTCTATCTCTGCCGTTTGTTTTGCTTTTCGATTTAAAGTGTTGCAGATGAGGCAGATAAGCAATTATTCCATATTTAGTCGAGCCACTTTACATTTTGGCGAGCATCTAACCATAGTATTTATAGTATTTATAGCATTTAATTGCTATTTTTGAGCAGCTTCTCAGCAGCCACTCAAACATCTCACAACTGGCCGCTGCGAAGCCAACACAACATTTTGTTTTTGTTTGTCCATTGGCGTAACTCTGTTTTCTCTTATTGTTCAGTTCTATCTTGATTCTGCCTCAAGTGTGATCTAACTCATTTTTATTAATTGTTCAAAAGTTGTTTCATATTTCTCTTTTTCGAGCACTTGACTAATTGAGTGAGAAGAACACAAATGCTGACATATCACGTATGCCAGCATATTCTATTAATTATTAAATTAAATTAAATTAATTATTAAATCAGCATCAACATAAATATCTTCTTCAACACTTTGCAAAGGCCCCTCTTCCTGTTGCAGCAGGCATAAAGCTGCCCTAGGAACGATCGGTGAAAAACCTATATTATGTAGCTGCAATGGGAACGATCAGTGGAAAAGTTCTAACTGAATTCTTACCTTTTTTAAGTATATTCAAAAAACTTGATCGAACTCGGGACTTATTAGTTGTATTATGCCCTATGCAAAGCTTATCAATATCGGACATCTATATCATTTAGCTACTATAGGAAAGGTCGGTGGTAGGATCTTATAAGGCAAAATATTCTGTTTCTAAAGATATTTCAACAAAAGCCGGATTGTGTGCTGTTAAATAAAACTGTCGGAACAAAACAATCTTTGAGGATGCCTTTCCTTTCATAACTTGTTCTTCAAATTATTTCGAATTCAATTTCATATTAAACCTATAACTAATTAGGTAATCATTTAATATATTTTAGGAGTGAGTTTTACGCTTAACTTGTTTTTATATAGCTGAATAAATTAAAATAAATTATTATTATTAATTAGTATTATTAATAATATTTTACTAAATAATAAGTGAATAAGTGTATTGGCACTTCTGTGGAATGCCTTAGCTATGCTGGGTCCACTTCAAGCCAAAGTGATTCGATCTAACCTTATCAAACAATTTGTAACCTCAACCCAATCATATGTCACAGACATTAACCTTCAAGCAAACTGTTCAAACTGTTCATAAATGTTTTATAAGACTTTATAAAGAGTGTGAAATCACAGTTACGAGTATTTGCACACATGAATTCAAGTTGGGATTTTGCGATCATAATCGAAAGCAATAAAATGACAAGTGCAAGTTTTGACCTTAGAGATATGCACAGATATAGCCGAGTTCTATTGTATTCACACTATAAATATATATATATATAAATAAATGTTATTGTTTGCATAGCTCGATTGCGGCTTTGGCTAACTAACTGTACAATTCATATTGAGAGCTATGAAAGGACATTGAAATATTTTTGCAATTACAGCATAAAATGCTGCGTCATTTGATTGATTGATTAGATATATCTATCAAATGTCATATATGTATGTATGAATTGCTTGCCTCAATGATTTTTATGATCACAAATCTATGCGAGGCACTCGACGCCTTGGAGTGTGTGTGCGTGTGTGTTTGCCTATTTGATTGACATTGAAATTATCTAGCTGCCCAGAAACTGTGACAATGTGTCTCAAAAAATAATGCACATGTGCTGAATTTTCTCTGCAGCTCGAGAACAGTTGCAATTGGAAGCTAAGCATGGAAACAGTTTGAAATTTTTGATACACAGTTTTTGCAGTTTCTGTATGCAAATATTAAGCATACGCCGCGTAAATAAAAAGCGCACAACAAAAATGCACACATTTTTGTGCCAGTTTTCTTTTGTGGGCAATTTGTTGTCTCGCCCCACAATTATAAGCAGTTATTATATTTATATTTATGTGGCTGTAATTGCATATGAAATTTCAATATTGTAATAAATATTTTTGTTTTCTGTTGTCGCGCGTTTTTCATGACAGAATTGGTGCAACCGCAACAGGTTTTCACTATGACAAAAAAATTAAAAAAAAACATTCCAGTCATGCGTTGTCAAGGAATTGTGCTTGACTGACAGATGCCCTGTAGTTAGCAAAAAAAAAAAAAAAAATAGGGAGTTTACTTTCTTAAATAACTTTTGTGTGTGATTCACGATAGTGTTGAAATCTGTGTTTTAATATTATCCTAAAAGTGCGAAGGAGTGAGAATCTTTTATATATTTGAATACGTGGAAGGCTACAAGGAAAATTCGCTGCCTCTAGCTGCTATTAGTTCTGAGATCAATGAAATATAGACAGTCAGCTTACTAAGTACAAAAGCGAATACAAACTAAGACTATATACTAAGACTATCTACTTGCTAAATAGTTTAGAATAGATGACTTTATACGAGGAAGAAAAGACTTCTAGCAAATGATCAATAATGCTTGTTATATTCATCACAAAAAAACTGAACGCTTTATGCAAGGCATTCTCAGTTGAACAAAATTTAAGCGATAAAGGTTTATAATTATGTGTTAATCTAGTAGAGACATAGAATTTTAGTCGACCCAAAAGAGTCGATTTCAATTGTATTTAAGTAATGAATAAATAATGCACAAAGATTAGTTTAACGATTAATTAAAGAAAATTAGTTATCAGAAGTTTACTGGAATACAACGTTAACCGCAGACGAGGATCGTAGTCTTAAGCATAGATGCCGTAAATTTCTATATATATTCTTTCTAAGATCACAAATCTCTTTCTCACAACTGTCTAACCCTTTTCGTCTCAATTTGTACAGGGTATGCGATGCGAAAAAAAATGGTAAATTTATTTACTCTGGTAGTGTCTGTGCTGGCGCTTAGCGCCCTGTCGCTGAGTTGGCAATTTATGCAATTTGGCCAAATCGTTCAAGTATCGCCATTGTCGTTATAATCGCTCGTTTGCATAAAACCATTATGTGCTACATGCCATAAATTATAGTGTTTGTACAGTTAGTTTGCATAAAGCGGCGGCGTTTCAAGTACAATGCAATCCAATCCAATGAAATGCATTGCAATGTAATCAAATTTGTTACAAGGCGCCCGTTCGGGGCCTTGGCTTTAAGTACATATCATTATAGTTTGCCTTTGTCTCTGTGTGTGCGTTTGTGTGCTGCCATAAAGATGCAAGTACTGGGAAATGCAGACCACACAATTTACAATTTTCTTTTTATATTGCATAGGAAGCCATAAAGCCTATCAAATAATGTGAACTCATTTAAATTCATTTATTTATGGGCATTATCAAAAGCGGGATTCCCTCGACTTGATGTGCATTCAGTTACTATCAACATTTACACTTTATATGCGCTATCTGTTCTACTAACCCACATTTTGTTAGAGTATTTGGGCAGAAAGTGAGTTATGTATTTTCTTTTACTTAGAATAAACGTTATGCCTGCAGAAAATAAGTTCTATGCAATTTCTTTTCTGACGTGAAGTATATTCAAAACTATTAGTTCCACAAGAGTAGAAACTCTTAGAAGTGCTGACTATCAAAACCGAAAAAAAATTTTATTTGATTTTTAAAATTACACTTTTTATTAAATAATTATCGTGACTGTCTATATAAAATTGTAACCCTGACAAAAGCCTGCTGGAGAGCTCAAATATTTTATTTTTTACCGAAAATAAATTTCGAACGATCTGGCAACACTAAGGGTTTTTTTGTGGTCGTTAAGTTGGCTGCGCCTGAACATTTCATAGGCTCTCTTATATGAAAAACAAACGTCAATGCATAAAATCATTTAATAAAAAAATGAGCATAAAACAAACTAATGTTAGTATTTCTTAAGTTTCTCGTTTAATTAAGATTTGAATGCCAACGATTTCTCATAAACGTGAAGGCATTTAAAATATCATCATTAGGCACTTGACTTGAATTCCTTGCGTTTATTTGCTCAACTTAGTAAATGCGAGTAGCTATGAAGTCACTCGTTGCTAGACTCAAGAGATCTCAAGGTAACTTACCATGCCAACTAATCTCCAGTTGTCGTTGAAACACAAATATCTTTGCGTTTCTTTTGCGAACAGTGCTATTTTGAATTCGTTGTTCACATAGTCCGGGAGGCCGACTATCGTTATATTTTCTGTAAAAAGATGAAAAATAAAAACAGTTTGAATTTCTGTGTATGTGCGTGCGGATCTTTTAATTGATGTAAATATTTGGCTGGCAAAAACATTTTTTAATTAAATGCAAACACGGACGTGCCGTGATTAAGCGTGTCAAAGCAAGCCGATCGTACGATCCGAGGGGAAAGGTGGGTTTGAAAGGCGCAAATAATTTTCATATTTAATCGGAAGCTAAACGTCGTATTAGCTTGTACTTTAATCGATGGATTTTTTAGACACGCCCTCCAATGCCGCACGTGTTCAAATAAGTTTGCACAGTGTAAAAAGTAAACAACAAAATTGTTTAAAAATGATACAAAATCTTTTTTAATACTAAAAATACTTTTACATTTAAATTGATTGAAAATATAATTAAGATAAATAAAAAAGACGCAACTGTGGTAAATTGGAGAACAGGCTTCAACATCAATTCAAAGATTGTTGTGCAAATTAATTTAAAACTTATTTCTAGGATGATAGAAGCGGGTGAAAGGTTTTAGGGGCGTAGTTTAAAGTTCTGTCCCGGGCAATATTCGATAATACACTTATTTAATGCAAAAAAGTTGACAGCGAATCTTGAGCTTTTGATGGGCTGTTAATGAAAACTGGAAATACTGTGTAAAGATTGTCATTGAAGTCTAAGATATTCAGAGAGAGCAAAAGAGAAAGAGATATTCGAGAGATGTTTGCCATCTGCGCCGTGTTTAATATTTGCTTAACAGTTAACAAACCGAAGAAAATTCAAGGTGTGCTGCGTTCTAATTTTAAAAGAAGAACCGACTGCTGCAGCTGCAGTCCATGATTAAATCGGGCAAAGTAAAATGGGGGAAATGCATTAAAACCAAACTCAAGTACATAGCTCTAGGAGATAGCTGCTGCTATCTCTCTTTCACACACTCCCCCCGTCGCCCTCTCTCTCTCCCTCTCTCACTCTCCACTAATTATAAACTAACAATGTATCTAAGGCCACGCCCCGTTGTCGTCGTCATCATCGTCGTCGTCGTCAGCCACAGGGCTATTGAACTTGCGAGCAGGCACAAAAGTCACTAATAAGTAAAGCACTTGAGCGCAGCCAAAGAAAAGCGGAATGTAGCTGGGGAAAAGCCACTCGAGTTAGATTGATAGGTGACTGGGTTCAGCTTCAGCTTCAGCTTCAACAGAAACGTTGACTGCCACTGCGACTGCGACGGCGACGGCGACTGCGACTGCAACGTCGTCTGCCAGTAATTAAATTTATGCACAGAAATTCTTGGCATAAGACGCCCGCTAAAAGTTGGCCGGCGGCGGGGTACGTAGGCCGGAGCTGGGCTCTCATATTTCATAAGCCCGACAGGGCCCAGGGCCAGTGCGCTTGAGTGACTTTTGTGCTTCACACCTTTTGGCCAGGCCACTGGCAGCAGCAGCCGATGCGGCAGGCACTTGGCCTGCCTTTGGGGCCAACCAGTTGGTGACTCCTTCTCGATGGCAACTCGTTGCTTGGGCCTTTTGTTGTTATTGTTATTGTTGTGATTCATGGCGCGTTCGCATAACTTATTGATTTCATTAGTTTAGTGACACATGCCAGAGAGCAAGAGAGAGAGAGAGAGAGTACTTTGAAGTTTGCACTTGTGAGTGCATGCCACTGCACCACCATCAACCCATGCACCACCAACTAGCACTTGCCACCATGCCACTTGCCGCATGTGCCTGCTTTTGTTTATTTTGCTTGGAGCTTGAAGTTGAGGCTGCAGCTGGAGTTGAGGCTGTTGCTTGGTCCTCTTCAAGCCTGCTCCAAGCAAGCTATTTTGCATTGTTTATCTTGTGCATTTCCAGTGGATTCTCAGTGGGTATTCAGTGGTTACACATTCGCACGGAGTCTTTGCTGATGAGCAATTGTGCTAGTTATCATGACAAGTGGCAGCTGGAGGGGGCAGTTGAGCGGCAAAGGGAGGCTGCACACTGGCAACGGCACATTTATTGTCCAGGCGGAATCTGGTGTTGCTTAACATTTACCATAATAGATAATATTTCTAAAATAATCTATGGATTGTTCTAGAACTAATCGAGAATTTGTGTAAAGGCTGCCCAAGCAGTCAATGTTACAGTCAGAGATTCTGGTTAAAGAAGTATTTGATTAATTCCAACATCATTGTTAATTATATAAAACTTATTTAATATTTATTTATATGTATATTTTATATGCAAGCCCTTCACTTTTTATCGACATTAATCTGTATTCGAATATCTACAATATATAGAATACTTTAACATAATCATGTCTGTAATATTATTATTATTAAATTTATTATTTAATATTTGTTTATTTTGAATAATTATTACTTGGGCTTTTCGCAATTGTTTCTTTTATTTGAATTATTTATTTCTTAGTTTATGCTCTTAGCTTTTGTTCTTTTACCAACTATAGCAAACATTTCCCTTTGTACATTCACTTTCAGCCCAAATCTCACACGGCATTTTATGCCCCACCTTCACTTTAACAATTGCCAAAAAAAAAAAAAGAAAAGAAAAGGAAAACCTGGCCATAGGCTGCATTTACAAAATGAAATGTTTATTTTTAATGCCTCACGATGTTACAGAAATAAAACTTGGCCGTTTTTGGCTCCAAAGTTTTCACGACAAAATCACATAAAACGCATTTATGCTTGGAATTTTTATGACCATCGATCGTTGATATTTGAAAGATTTTTCGGTTTGGTTCGGTTCGGTTCGGTTTGTTTTTCACTCCATAAAAAGCTACGATCGGGCCGCATTTTTGCCGCTACTTATTAAGTTTTCAAGTTGTTTTCTTATTTTATATTTTTTTCCATCTTCTCTTGGGTTTCTAATTAAGTTATTAGTCACAGTGTGGAATTTGTTTTTTGAGTCTGAGTCTTTAATTTATGTTTTTATTTTTTTCCCCCAACATTTTTGGGTTTTTAGAATGGGCGTCGCCTGTTATCGATATCGAGATCTGTGCACTTAAAACGCATCATCGTAAATATGGCAAAATCAAACATTAGCCCAAAAGACCTGAAGGCCTTCTAATTGTTAGATGCTATCACATTAGACTGATTTCAGACTCGTTAGGCTTATGGTTATGGGCTATGGAGGCGGTTGTTGTTGGTGTGGGTGTGTGTGTGTGTGTGTGTGTGTGCTTTTGGGAATTCTGTGTGATCTTGAGAGGGTTCTTAAAGGCGAAAGTTATGGCGTATACGTATACATAAGCTCTCGGACAGGTATTACAAACGAGTTTTCATATTTATTAAAATAATGAAAATACTGATTCAGATTTTATATTATTATACTCTAAGTAATCCATGCATGCTATGTAAGTGCAATCGATATAAGCAGGGTTGATAAGCTTATCGATCAGTTGAGGCACATGCAAAAGGGTAAGCGCAAATGCCTTGCTGTTGTGAAAAGATTTCCATAACTTTTGTTTAACTATAAAATACGAAAGAACCATAACCTAGCCTATGCCAAGTTCGAGCTGGTTGCATTTATGACCTGCTCCCCAGCTGCGCAGCGACTGCTAAGAATCTTGATATATACTGTCAAAACTTAGATATATAACGAATAAAAACAGACAATTTAATCGAATCAGATGAAGATCAAAACAAGCTGTAGTTCAGGAAAACAAAAGGCGAACAAGAATAAAACCAAAACAACACAAAACAAATAATAAAATAAAATGAATAAAACAACAAAAAGCTTTAATCAAATATGCAAGCAATGAGGCTCATCAACATAAAATTAAAAAATCATAAAATGCTAAACTGCACAGCATGAACAAAAATCCAACAGCAAAAAAAAAAAAAAACAAAACAAAATCTGATTATATATCCAACAATGCCGGGCTCCAAAAATCTGACAACAAGCTGGGGCGTCAAAATGCCGCCTAATTGCGGCACATGTGATAGTTGGTTGGAGGGGGTACGAGCTCCAGCGGGGTGGGAGGAGTGCATGGTGGAATGCCAACAGATTTTGTTTTTTGTTGTTTTTTTTTTTATGATCTTACGATGTGCACGTCACACAGCTGGTCACTTTGTCATTCCATCAGCGTGATAAGCATCAAGCATCGCCCCCATGCCGTGCCCCATCCTCGCCTCCCCTCCCCACCCTGCTATCCGCTCCCTTATCGATTGCTAGAGTTATGGATCGCACGTAGCCGCCAGCATTTGAATTTGGTTTTAACTCAGATTTTGCCGGTGGGCGTTGAACGCTTGATAAGCATAAATAGCGGCTTATCGATCGGGACTGCATCTATTGGAAGTGATCTCTATGATAATGGCATTTTATTTGGCATATTTACAAGACTTATGCGACTCTTAACTGCGGTTTACTTTCACTGCCCTGGAGGAAAGCTGGCGAGAGTTATTGCTAGAATAAATCGATTGTGGGCTTCGATTATTCATTACCATGATCACGTAGTCCAATATATTTGGGCAGGTTTTATTGATGTCTGAATCATGTTTTGTGATAAAAAACGTTTGCTTTAATGCTTATACATATATGGAATATATTTAGTTGAGTCAGTAACTATCGATAATAATCGATTTCAATATAAAAGAACTTATTTATATATTGCTTTGACTTTTCTATTTCTATTTTCTATTTTTTGAAGTCTTCAAAATTTTGAAACTTCTTCATAAGGAATATTCGTAGGCAACTTTTCTCTTTTCGTTTTTGGATAGCAAAACTAGGTTGCAGGGATTTTTTTAAATGTGCTCTAATTGTACTTAATATATTGATAAACGTACATAGGTATTGAAGAATTGAATGTATCGAGAATCGTGATGATATTTGTGTCCTAAAATCGAGTACAATTTTATGATTTGCTCAGCCCTACACGACATATTTTACAAATTTTGTATGCACAGGTTCCACGCATTCTTATGCGATCAGTTCTAGTTGGAGTCGGAACTATTTCGATTTGTTTTGGTCAGTTCTTGGAGCGCTCGACTGTTTATCCTTGGGTTGCGCTGGCCATTCTGGCAAA